ATCAATAATAGACTCATACTAAAAATATGAGGATTGCTAAAATAATTCTTGATACTAACCATTTCGCCAATTCTGAGTAATTGACTAAACCTTACAATTCTTGGCGGTCTAAAGAAAAGCGTCATGGTAAGTTTGAAAACTCTCAGCTTTCCCCTGGAGTACGTATGACTTATCCCTGTATCTCTTAATCCTTGTTCTGTCATTCATTTACACAAGTCGACTAATCACTAAATAACAAAATGACGAAACATTAATGTATTTTTATTTATTGCGTATAGCGTGACGAAAAAAGAATTTTCATTGTCAAGTTTAAAAGTTTTCAGATTTCCCATGGAGTTATTTTTAAAAAAATCTAAGTAAGGCAAGAAAGCCACTAAAACGCAACGGGTTTCTGACCGTGAAAGAATATGAGAAGAAGAAAACATTAATGTAAAGTAATATAAAGCCGCGAGAATTAACATAGAAGATAACGATTGATATTGCATTTCATTTTTTTCAACCGTCACACCTGAGGGAGAAAGATGACGTAATGCCCAGTCACTGGTTGAACAGTGGTAGAGAAAAATGACTTAATGAAACAATGCATACAAATTATCTGCGAAATTTGACTCACGAGCACAAGCAGAAGGGTTAAAACTGTTCAGAGACCCAAGAGCCAAAGGGTTCAGATTGAAGTTAGCTAGAACAACAATAAGAAAGTTCCACATGCGAGAAGTGTGAGAGTAACATCTAGCCATTTCAGTAGTATAATGATGAGACTAATCAAGTACTGCACTTAAATTCACAAAGTTTAGGTACGAAAGGTGAACGCTCATCAGAACAGTTACAATGGAAATATTTATAGAAAACGTATCGGGAAGTCGCAGTAAGGTGGTGGGAAAGTTACTGAAGCAGACATGACAGATCAACACAATGAAAATTGCAGATTCAAATAAATAATACGTAAATCCGTAGAGCGTAACAACTAACCTAGGTACATGGCAACAGCCCTGGGATGAAGGATGATACAACACTCAAGAAACAGCTTCGTTCTGTCTGGCCTATGTGAAGGGAATATCGGAAAATTACAAAAGATCTGTGCTTCATTTAACATGAAGGCGGCTCTTCCGAGTAAGTCTCTCCCCCAAAGAACTTGACTAAGGACTGTATGTACGCCATCCCGTTCTACTGTGATAAGAAATCTACTCCGGTGGACGAAGTAAATGGTTAAGTTCGAAATTCCAATAATCTGAAGAAGACCGGAGTGTACAACGGCCGAAATGTCGTGAATATGACAACAAAGATGATGATAAAAGTCCAAACAATGTAAATATTTTCAAAAATTAAAATATTTCATCTCATAAATATAGACAGATAATGAAAATTCGACTTCTTCTTCTTTTCTTCTTCTTCTTTATCTTCTTCTTCTTCTTCTTCTTCTTCTTTTTCTTCTTCTTTTTCTTTTTCTTCTTCTTCTTTTTCTTATTATTTTTTTCTTCTTTTTCTTCTTCTTCTTCGTCTTCTTTTTCTTCTTTTTCTTCTTCTTTTTCTTCTCCTTCATTTTCTTCTTTTTCTTCTATTTCTTCTTCTTCGTCCTCTTCTCCTTTTTCTTTTTCTTTTTTTCTTCTTCTTCTTCTTCTTCTTCTTCTTCTTCTCCTTTTTCTTCTTCTTCTTCTTCTTCTTCTTCTTCTACGTGCCATGCCCCTCAATAACATGTCCTTTGTAGCTCTTAATAAATGTTGACCTTTTGTTATTTCTCTTGTACCTTGCATTGCTATCCATTTATTCATGCTCGCAAATATTTGAATATTTGAAATTGTTTAATTTTGGTATCTCGAATGTTCCATGTGCATATTTGGCTTTGTTTTTGCTAAAAAGCACGAGTTCTGTCTTCTGTTTGTGTCTGTGTCATCTGTATATAATATACCGCTGAAATTATGGCCGACAGTAATGAATAATGGCAGGATTTCTAATTCTCTCAGAATCGCCGCACAGTATGGATTTAATAAGTCCGGCAAGAAGACACATCCTTGTCGTACGCACCATTCAATAAAGCTACTAAGACACAACGGGTTAATGGGTGTGGAAGAATTAGGAATAAAAACAGAACGAGAACACGAAATAGTAATCAGAAGGACAGTAGATTAATACTGCATAAAAATATTTAAATATTAACATTGGCTGGAAAGCATGAAGTCAGAAAAGGAGTTCCACAAGCGAGAAGTGCGAAAGGAGAAACTGTGGGCATAGGATTCATAATTGCATCTAACCGCCTCAACAGTAAATTGATGAGATCTCGACCCCAGTCCAGTACTGCGCATCAATTTTAAAAATTCTAGGTACCATAAATATTGAATTCATTTTCTATCCGCATAGAGGCGGTTTGATGCCTACTACTAGTTAAAAACTCATGTTAGGCTTTCATACAATTTACCATCTTGGGCCTTCATTTCATATTCCTCACGTGTGTTTCTCGAGGTTCACAGACTTTCCCCGTCAAACCGTTATGAAAATTACGCTTTTAGAATATAGACGTCAAAAATATATATACGACGCCTCATTCTATTATTCGATATTTACATAGGTCTTTGTTGCTGTCTTTCTTTTTCAGTTTTTGTTTTTCTTTTATGTTATTCTATCTTTAGAGATCGTTCTCGATTTTTTTTTTGTTTTTCTATTCTTTCCGTTTGCATGTGTTCTTTCAAATCCCTCCTATTTCCAAAAGAATTCCTCAAACAATATCACAGAAAAACTAATAATTATATCAGGACAAACACTACATACACCTAGTATGACGATAAACTACATCTGGCAGCAAGGCCTCTGATTGGGAGATTGGAGGTTTTGAATAGCGTGGAACAACATCTAAACAGTTTTTGTTACCAGGCTCAACTTGAGCCGAGGTGGTAGCAACTCTTGTGATCTCGGTAAAGGGGCAAATAGTGAAACCCCAGATATTAGCTGAACGCTATGAAAGTATAAAAAATACATTTTATAGTAAAATTAGCAGCAATATTTTTTTATAATAAAATAACCAGCAATATTTTTTTTTATAATAAAATAACCAGCACTATCTGTAGAAGACATACAATTACGTTCAATATATTTAGATTTCGGCATTGAAGAACTCATAAAGGCGGATATGCTGTTAAAGCAAATCAAACAAACAAACAACATGAAAGAACTCTTGCATAGCATTAATCCATATAATAACGTGTAATTGCTTAAACAATTCAAAATGTCTTCTAAAATATAACTTCAATCAAACTAAAGCATAAAACACACATATCACCATCTTCAGTAATAACGTCTATGCATAATTATATATATATATATATGAATAAAGGCAGACTAACGTGTACCATGTACTCTTTTGTGAAAGCAGAACGACATATATATTTATTAGTTCAATGCTTTAAAGAAAAGAAAATTTCGACATTAAATGACTCATAAGTAATTGATATGCTGTTAATCAAACAAAAATCCAAACCGACACTGGCAAAATGGTATTTTCTATTTCGAAGAAGAACTGTACTAAAAAAACAAAATAAAATAGTTCCGTTTGATATAAAGACAATCTATTAAATATTATCGTTTTTTGTAATCAATTCACCCCAGAAAAGGCAATAAAGACACTAAAATGTAAGGCGTATGTGAGAACCTGAGAAAAGAAAATGATTATTAAACAGAGAGAGAAAGAGAGAGAGAGATAAAAGAACATAAATTAAGAAGCCTGAAAATCACAATTTACATCTCATTTAAATTGTTGAAGATCAATGTTGATGGGAAGCAAGAAGCCAGAGGAGTATTGAAAAAAAGAGAGAGGCGATACCAAAAATTATTAACATAGAATTTACATCTCGCCATTTCAATTGTAAAATTTAAATTTAAAATGTTTATATTTTATTATGAATAAATATCAGATGTAAAGGTGTTTTCCGAAAAGAAGGAATACGAGTTTGGATAATGAAGAAAGGAAAACGGGAAAATAAAATGCCAAAGAGAAAAATGTTTCAAAATAGATGAAGGGAAATCGTTTGGAACAAAGAAAAGAATTTCTATTTGAATAACAAAATTGAATTTGAATGTTTGTTGAAAGAATAAAAAAAAACAAAAAGAAATTCGAAAACGTAGAAATATATGAAAATAACAAATATTGGGCTTTTAAAGAAAGAAAGAATTAATAATGAAAAAATGCTTGAAGAAAGAAAGAAAAAAATAAGAAAGTACTGTAAAAAACACGAGAAAGAAAGAAAGAAACACACAAACAAACAAACAATAAATAATGAAAAATGGTTGAAGAAAGGAAGAAAAATTAAGAAATTCTTGTAAAAAGTAAGCTGAACAAAGAAAAACAAAGTAAAACAAATTGCATTCCGAAAAAGATAAATGGGTGAGAGAAAGCAAAAAAGAAAGAAAGCAAGCAAGCAAGCAAGAAAGAAAGAAAGAAAGAAAGAAAGAAAGAAAGAAAGAAAAAGAAAGAAAGAAAAGGGATTCCAGACAAATACAAAAATGCAAGTATATTTGAAGAAAGATATTGTGGAGAAATTTAGAAAGAAAAGATGAATGAAATAAAGGAAAGTATTACTGGAGAAAGAAAGAAAGAAAAAAAGAAAGAAAGAAAGAAAGAAAGAAAAAAGAAAGAAAGAAAGATAATTTGTTGAATGAAGAAGAAAGTGTAAGTAAATATGTAAAGAAAGATTCTCAATAAATACAAAAAAGCAATAATAATTAAAGATAGATAGCAATGGCTAATTGACGAAAGAAAGAGTCATTCAGAGAAGGATTGTTTTAGAAAGAAAGAAAGAAAGAAAGAAAGAAAGAAAGAAAGAAAGAAAGAAAGATTGCAGACAAATACAAAAATTCAAGAATATTTGAAGAAAGATAATAGTGGCGAATTTTCGAGAGAAAATAAATAAGAAAAGCATTACTGAAGAAAGAAAGAAAGAAAGAAAGAAAGAATGAATGAATGAATAAAAGAATGAAAGAAGGAAAGAATGAAAGAAGGAAAAAATGAAAGACTAAACAAATGAATGAATCAATAAATAAAAGACTGAATGAAAGAAAAAATAGTGAATGAATGAATGAAAAAGGAATGAATGAAACAATGAAACATTAAAAGAAAGAACAAATGAATGAAAGATAGAAAGAAATGGAACCGTCCCATTCTGGAAGTGGTGTACGCGTCCAATTCAGCGAACCTGCGGTTGTTGGAGAAGGCTGGGTTAGGCTGGGTAACTGGGCATGTGTAATAACCTAATCTTCGCTTCAAGGACATCTACAAAATGTAAGCGATTAATATGGACATGAACAGGAGGGAGACGTCGCCAGTGATCACTCACACTGGAGATTCGATTTACGCTGAGAGCTGGAGTGAGGAGTGAAGAAACCAAGGTTTGCCGCCGAGGAGAAGTGTGCTCGACGGAAAGAAAACAACAAGGCGACATAGGGAAAGAGCGCCTTCACATGCATTCGTTGCAGTCGATACTGGCAATTCATTGTGGACCTGTACAAAGATAACAGATGCTGCACCGCCAGCAGCAGTTGAGGCACAACTTTTGATTGCAGATCCAAGGTTTCTCTAAACCGACGGATGCTACACGCATACATACACACACACACAAACACACACACACACACACACACACAACACACACACACACACACACATATATATATATATATATATATATATACAGAGGATGTGATGGATAAATTGTTGTTAAAATTGCGCAAAACTGTAACATTTCATTTTAGCAGATATATTTTATTTAAAATCGGCATTGGCTTCAACGACGGACCCCATACGACTTCGGAATCTCCTGCAACTCTTCTGGACGGTTTCCGTGTTCAAGTTGGAGAATGCTGCTATCATCCTTGCCTCCTGTTCATCTTTGATGTTACAAAAAGTTTTGTTGGACTCTCGCTCAACTGTGCCCCACACATAATAATCGAGGGGGTGCGGCTTGGGGAGTTATGCGGCCAGATGTAAGTGGGGGGGTGATCGAAAAAATTGTCTGAGAACCCTGACTGGGTTCACCTGCCTGTGAGGCATGGTGTAGAGTCCAGTTGCTAGACATAGGGTTTTCCAGTAACCACGCTCTTGACCCAGGGATATCACTGCCTCCACAAGGGACTCGATGTAGGCCTCTGTGTTAAGTCTGAGACTCTCACCAACAAATTTGGTAGTTATTTTTCATCAGAATGAGTATCCATAGCTGCCGTGCTTTCATAATCACCATTAGAAACTTTCCATATCCCCTGTAATGTCCCCAGATGGACACCCAAACACTCGGAAATGTTCGTATTGGACCTTCCGATGCATACCGTTTCCAAATGTTTTTAACAGTGAATTTCATCATGGTTCTTTTTTTCTCACAGATGGTGCCCAACTGGCCCTACTATAGTAAAAATATGAAATGGCAATAATTTACCCATAGAACCCTGGTCAAGCATAGGAATGAATTAATTCTGTAAGCATTTCTAATTAGCTATCGCCATTAAAAACACGTCCTTCAAAAATGAATGATTTCTTCCCAAAGAACATCAGACATTAAGAGAATGTCTTTTCTGTTCAACAAATTTCTGTCGCTTTTCTTTCCTTCAAATACGGTACCTTATGACTGCTGACCTCACTGCTAATATCGGATGTGCGTCAACGGAAATTATTAAATTCTTCAAAAATGAAACCCCAAAAATTCATTTTGAAGAAATTTGAAAAGATTACTTGTTAAAACAGATAATAAATAAATTTTCCGAATATAAGAAAGAAACGAGATATATAAATCTGTATTATTCTTTTTACAGATTTTCTATGTCATTTATAAAGCTATAATTATTTTAAACTGCACACCGACTTCTTGGACCTCTGTATATGAATACGCACAATCGTTTGATTCACGTAATTGAAAATACATACATATAAATAGACACTCATACTTTAAAAGGAATAACAATATATACATACATGCCAAATTATATATTAGCAAAATAACATAGATATATACAAGCAAATAGGATTACACTTAGTAAATATACAATCATACATTGAAATCTGAACGTAAAAAAAACTAAATAAATGCATGTTGCTAAAATAAAATAAAATAAAATTAATAATATATATATATATATATATATATATATATATATATATATATATATATATATATATATATATATAATTAATAAACAATAAATTCCAGGTCATCTCTTATCAACCCCAGTGTGGATTGTCTTCGTGTCTATACAGTCAGGAGGGGCAGTAAGTAGAATTTAACAGTGATAGCTTAAAGACCAACCTGTTGAATTTTTCCATTTCAATGTTTCAGTCAGACGAAAGGCACAAGACAGGGGTCAGGTGAGAGTGGAAGGTATTTGTCTTAAAGGGAAGAAGTTTTATAAAATTAAGCCTGAATATTAACCTTGTGATATTATTTTGGGTTATATGAAGAATGAAATTTTAATTTAAAATTAAATTTCGTCTGACTGAAACAATGGCTTCATAGTTGGAAAGTTTAATGAATTTATACATCAAACAATTGAAACCCAACCTAAACAAAATCAATTATGGAATCTCTACAAATATCCTTAAATGTTTGTAACAGAAGCCATTGGTTTATACGGCTTCCCATACTTCATACTTCTTGAATTCACTCTCGTGTGGTCATGTGTGACGTCATGAGATGCGGTGCGATTTTCGCTTCTAGCGTTTTATATGCACGTGTTTATCGTTGCTAGGATATCATCTATGTAAACAGTCAAATACTATCATCACTGTCTTGTCCGTATGTTGCTTAATATGTTGTACAGTAATTGTCATCTTTCATAATGGCTTATGTAAGCGGAAAGCTTAGATTGGATTAAAAAATATGGATCAATATTGTGATTTTCTTTTTTCGTTTAATGATAATGTTATTACGCTTATCAGACGTTATGAAAAGAATAAAATAAATAGTCAACATTTGTGTATATTATTTAATGAAACGTGTATGCATGAAAAGATGCTGCCTAAATACACACACACAATATATATATATATATATATATATATATATATTCAAAATAAAATTTTCTTGCATGTTATAAATTATTCCCTGGCTTCTCGTTCAGGAGATATTTCATTTAAATTATATATGACTTAAAGACAAGTTTTCAGATAAGATAGCAAATATACATTTTACTTCAACGGTACCATAATTCTTTCCGGAGTTAAAAGTATATGCATATTTATATATATATATATATATATATATATATATATATATATATATATATATATATATATATATATATATATATATATAGATAGATAGATAGAGAGATATATTGTGAAATGTATTATGTCCGGCAGCTAATATATTTTCTGTTTATACGTTATTTTTAATAGATACATTAAGTTTCGATTCATGAGCAGATATGATCGTTCGGGAAAAGATTGTTGAAGATTTATAAACAGTAATTTCGATTTTGCTAACCAGGTGCTTTATCTATTGCTGCGTGGTACAGCACGTCAGATTAATTGACGGTTCCGTATAGGACACAGGTACAATTCTCGTCGGAGATCTTATATTTTTTTACGAAGTTTCTCGAACATTCAAGCCGGAAGATGGATTGGCTTGACGCATAATTATTAGGCTTTTTTTTTACCAATATTTGTTATGAAAAATAAACATAACAATTCAACAGAATTTTTTTTTAATTAATACAATTATCGAGTCGCATTTGTATAACCTAAAAATGAAATAATATTTTTATTAAAAAGAGTATTTTATTAATTAAAGAACTCCCCTACAAAGACGCCTGATAATTATGCACCATCTCAATAATTAATTCTGTTTACTTAAAAACAGAGTATTGACTTAAATAAATTGTATCTATTAAAAACAATGTATAAACAGAAAATATTATATATATATATATATATATATATATATATATATATATATATATATATATATATATATATATATAATCATTTCCCCCAAGCAAGGTGGTAATGCCAGTAGTAAGCAGGGTGTTACAGGGAAGAGAATGGGAAGACTGGAAATAGGCAGGATTGGGGAAATGACAAAAAAATGACCAGGCTCCCATTGGATGGCAATTGACGTTGCATTTATTTATTATTATTATTTTTAAGATTGTAGTAAACAGGGAAGCAAGTAAAAGGAATGGATTTCCACACGTGGAAAGCGCGAGAAAACAAACCGTTGGAGTAGAAGTGGCAGTTTCATTTAATTATTTCAACATTAAAAGGGTTGGACCTTGATGCCAATCTAGTAGCTCGCTTAAATTCATTTATTCGTGGCCCCAGGGAAGAAAAAAAACTTTTCAGAGCAGTTGCCATGAAAATCCTTGTAGAAAATACAGAGGGAAGTAACGTCACGTCGATGACAACGTAACTGAAGTCGAGATTCTTACTCAGGATCGATAACATTATAGATCTTTCTTTGGATTTTTGTCCAGCTTCTCGAGACGTACAGGAGGCGCATTAGACTGGATAGGGCAACAGTATTCAATGCACAGACGAATTGTAGATTTATAAATGTGGAGAATGGATTTTTCTTGCACAACGCAGTGAACCAACTGTAGTAGATGAAGCAATTTATTCGATATAGTCGCTGTACTACATGTCAGTGTAAAACGTAATGCCAAAATGCGTAGGGTGTTGCTCACCTGTAGTTTAGCATCAGCCATGTTGATGACTGTTAAAAAAGTTTCTCTGTTGTGGTTAAATGAAAGCCGTTTTATTTTGGAAACGTTAAAATTTACAAGCCATTTCTTGCCCTAGTAAACCACTAATTTGAGGTCTTTTTCAAGAGCAGTTGTCAGGTTTACTTTGTCAGATCTGTCGGATTTGCTGCTAAGACAGTTGTAAATAGTAGGGATACTTGCATAAATACCCTGTTTGAAACTGATAACATCAGGGAGATTATTGATGAAGATCCGAAAAAGAGTAGGTCTTGTTGTTACAGTTTTTTTTTTTTGTGTATGCATGCATGTAACTAGTGAGTTAGTCAAAATG